TGATGGAAGTCAAAACCACTTTTTGAAAATATTTTTTGTCATTTGCAATTTCCTTTTTTAGTAAGGAAAGCAAGAAAATAATTATAGCATTACTGCAAAATTGGATCTGGTAGATTTTATTTTTAAGTTGTATCTCCCAGCCATCATCCTGGCATTTTTAAGATGGGACATATTCAGAAAAGGCCACAGAAACATCTCAGTCGTGCTATTTCTCTCTTTTTTATGTTTTGGTTATATAAGCGCACATTAATGACCCGGCTGTGAGTTGTTTTGTGTGATAAGTGGGTCACAGCGCTGCTCAGTCATATGCTCTTCATCCTTTTTTTTCCCTTTCTAGCTAAAAACTGAGGGGAAACCCTTCTAGTCACGCCATACGAAGCCTTTCAGACCTTTCATGATCACACATTAAACACTTATTAACCTTTCAGTGCAGCAGATAATTGAGTATTTCAGTGAAATCTTTTACATGTGGATACAAGAACATAACTTGGCACATATGTTCTAAGTGCTTACATTCATGAAAAATGTTACTGAAAAATTCAAGTTGGTCAGGAAAAATTTATTTTTCTATTAAATTAGCAAATATTTATCACACACTTTTTGAGTAAAATCCTAAATTGTCATAGAAATAATATTTACTGATTAGATATGCCATGGAAAAATAATTTGTGCACTATTGGCATTTGATTGAGTGTGGTGTCAAATCAGAGCCTTACATATTTTCATGATCTTGTTTCCTTTTTCTGGTGGATATTTTTTCAAAATGGCCGCCATTGTTGTTATGATGGGTACAGCTAACCAAAAAGTTAGGTACACAAACCACTAATTTATAAAAACAAGAAACTTGGCTATGCTAACATAAACCATTAAGCAAACAAAAAATGTGTAGAACCAAATGCTAAATTGCAACACAAACAAAAGGTTTACGCTAAAAACACAAAACAATTAGCTGCAGCTTGTGCTAAACTCCTAAATACACATGAAAAAAATAGCTAAGCTCATGCTGCACTGTTAAACACACAAAACAATTAGCAGAAGCTTGTACTAAAGCGCTAAATATTCAAAAAAACATTAGCATAAGTTTACGCTAAACCACTAAGTACAAAAAAAAGTATGGATGTTTATCCTAAACTGATAAATACAGCAAAGCAATTAGCAGAAATTTATGCTTACCCACTACACACAGAAAAATTTACAGAAGATTAGTTTGTTTAGCTAAATCACTAAACAAACAAAAAAATAGCAGAGATTTATGCTAAACTGCTAAATAAGGCAAAAACAAAATTAGCAAAAGCTAATGCTAGCCATTAAGACAACTGCCTTTTGGTGTCTCACATTTTTATCTCCTTCCAGTTGACGACCAGACCAGCGTGAGACTTGCAAACAGCAACGTCTCACATTTTTGTGTCCAGTTTTGCTACGTGTTATTACTGTAAAGTCGTATGAACGGGATGAATAAAATGAAAAACATACGATGTGACATAAAGTTCGTCCATGACTTGAAAATGGGTAATTTTATGGCAATACTTTGTTTAAAAATGGTGGCCATCTTGAAAAACGGAGACCTTTCTGAAATTCAAGTGGCTATGGGTAAATATGCGATTTGAGGGGTGACCTTGGCTCTAAGTTGTATTGATATAGTTGAAGCTGGACATTGTTGGCATTAAAACAAGAAAACAACCTTGAGACGACGGTGGCTGTGTCGACGGGTGGAACCTGTGAGCAGAGGAACTGCAGCTGGTGCAGCTCTGACGACGAGACGAGGGTTCGTAGGTTGGGGTATTTCTGGAACCAGTGGAGACCCAGGGCGCTGTGGGCCAGCCGGTTCTCCCGCTCCAGTTGTCTTGCCAGACGTTCTCGCTCCTCCACGTGCCACAGCAGCTCTGTGAGCAACATATGGCCGAGCACAGGCTCCACTCGGCTTGGAGGTCGAGTCTGTGCTCTCGTTTGATTGGACCATTTCATCCAGCCGAACAGAGGCATGGCTCTTTATGCTAACAGGCCCTGAAAACTGAGGAAATGAGTATTAATCTGTCTTCATTATAAAGTAATAATTAACAGTGGAATTTTGTTGCATATAAAATTTCATTTATATGCAACAAATTAAATTTTGTTGCATATAAAGTGCTTTTCCATAAAAAAAAATTCTAAATGCTTTTATTTTATTTTATTGAAATGAAGCTCTCATTTTCATTATTTTATTTTTCTTTGGGATCAAGTATTTTTGAATTTATTTGAATTTTTAAAAATGCAGGGCTGCAGCTAAATTACTTTAGTGATCGATTATTCTGTCGATTATGTTTGACGATTAATCGATTTAAAAATTCTTGCACATTTTGCAGATTGTTCATTTTAACCACTTAAACTTATTTTATACAACATTACACAAATAATTCAATTCCTGTTTTAAATAAAAAAATATTGCCTAAAATGTAATTAATTTAGTGTACACTTGGTCATTTGTAGCAAAGGATTCTTCTGCGGCTAAAAAAGTTCTTCTCACATTAACTTGTGAAAAGCCCATTCTGCCTGACTTAACATTAATACAATGTGGGGCTAATCAGCTGATAAATTTTTGGATTAACCGATTGATAAGGCAGAAAAAGGTGCTTAGTAAGGATTATTATTATTTTTAAAGGTTTTGTTGGCTCTAGTGGCATTTATTTGGAAGTAGCCTGACAGGGAAGAGGGCCACGAGAGAGGGGATCAAACCAGGCCGGGAATCAAACCCGTGACCACCGGCATGAGGACCAAGGCCTCAGTACATGGGCCGCGCCCTGCCCCTGTGCCACCACAGCACCCCCATTAGTAAGGATTATTTTTAACAGAATTTCAACCAGGCGAAATTAAATTATACCGCTTGAGGAGGAATTTATTTGCAGACAAAGAAGGGTTTTTATTCATCTTAAATTCAAAATATTTATATTTTTTGTACAGTTTTGTCCTAATTACTGCCCTAAATATGTTATTCCAGCAGTTGGCCTTTTTTGTGTCTGTCAACAATTACTAAATTAGTTGACAATACGGCTACCCATTCCAGCCATACTGTAGCTATATTTCAGTTCAGCTCCAGTACTGAGCTGTACTGCTGATAATTTTTTTGTAATATTGACCCAGATGAGCAATGTGACCTCTGGTCTGATTGGGTCGAAGACGGTTTTCACTTCAAGTCAAACGGCGCTCTGATTTGGCCCAGATTTCTCTGTGTGACTCGTTCTGTTGCCGCCTGCGGGGTCCAAGGTCAGCCTCATCAAAACTGCATAGTGGTGTTTTGAATAATACACAACAGAGCCTTTAGGCATCAGAAGGGGTTTGCACATGCACATAAGACTGAAATCTTAAAGAAAATAAATCTGTACTCACTGGTGAAACAAAACTGCACTGCTGACTCTGCTGTAAGCTTTTGAGAGACTTGGCACAGAAGAGCTGCTCACATGGTGCTCCCTCCAGCGTTGCGCTTCTATAAATCTACTGTAGCAAAGTTGCCTCTTCCTCCTGCTTCTTTTGGTGGTAAATGTTGAGTTTTGGCTGCAGTCCTGGACTGTTTTCTCCTTTTTCTTTTGTTCTGCGGTGATTGTCTTGTCCTCCCACTGCTCCCGTCATGCAGACTTTGTCGGGGAGAGTTAGTCGCCCGCTGCTAACTGACTAAGAGCTGTCACCTCTCCTATCCTTTCACCTCACTCTCCTCTGTGCAGTGTGCAGCTTTGTTGTAAGGTCAGCTGCTTTGTAGCTTCCACGATATGTGTGCAGTGGAGAGAAAGAGGATGAGAGTGCATGTGTGCTCACAAGCCGTGGGTGTATTTTGTTCAAGCCCTCGTATTGCTGTCTGTTTTTGCATTGAAATGCTCGGCTTGCTCACACTGCAAGGCGCGCTTCTCCTCAGGCCACAGAGCAAACGGCCTGGCTGAGTGTGCCAGAGCGAAATTCAAAAGGAGGAGAGAGTTTGAGTAAAGTAGCTAGTGTGGTAAATTAGGTATGTTGCAATTAATCGCATGATAAATTAAAACGAGCTCAATAATTTGCATTTGCATTATTTATCATCTTCTACCAAAAACTGGATATTAAAAGTCTCCAGTCTGGGCCTGTGGTCCCACTTAGCTCTTTAATTGAAGGACAGTTTTGTTGACAGAAACTCCATAATTGATTGTTTTGATATTTAAAATATCCCATTGTGAAATGTTCATTAGAAATGGAAGTTTATTGATCTTTGAGAATGTTATGTCGTTACCATTATATCACTTTTAAATGGTCTCAAAATAACAATTTTATCGTTTATCGCAATAACTTCTGGGGTAATTTATCGTCCAGGAAAAATTATCGTGACAGGCCTGTGGGCAATAAGGCTTAAAAAATAAATCGGATTTTTTTTGTACTATATTCATTAATTATAATAATAGCAATAAAATCAAGATTATGGACATGTATGGCCATCTTCTTCATGAGTCTGTCTTGGGAAAACTTTCCTGCCAACAATAACACTTTGAAGAATCTGAATTGATGAGTTACAACTTTTAATTTCCCTTTGGGATCTATAAGTTATTTTTTAATTTAAATTTTAATCTATTTTTTGTGCTTACTTGAAAAAAAAAATACAAATGACAAAATATTTTCAAAAAGTGGCCTTTATTTTTTTTAACCCTCCTGAGAGTTGCTTTAAGGCCAGACTACGATACTTTTAAAATTTATTTAATTACGAGAATATAGTCATAATATTAGCAGACTAGTGATGCAATTTTACCAGAACAAAGTCTTAAAATTACAAACAAAAGTAATTATGACATGCTTTTAAAAAAACAGCCGTTTTTGGGCAATAATTTATTGTATTTTGGTGTCTGAAAATGGAAATTTTTCAAAAACCTCCAGATTAAGTCACAGTGGAACGGCACTGAGCCGTTATCTAGCAACCCCAGCCAAGCCCGGCCCGTTACCTAGCAACCAAACAGAACTCCACTACATTGCTGGGACATGAAGGCAGAAGTTTAGAACAGGAATGTGACTGCTTATGTTGCTTTTCTCAGTCCGGTAAAACCTGATGATTCCAGCCAGAAAGCTGATGTTGGACGGATCCAAAACCCAGAACCTTCGAGGAGTGAGTAATGGATTACATGATTTAGTAGTAGATTCCACCCACATACAGTACTAGATTGTTGTGAATTTACCTCTCCCTTCACTGTTTTGAATGTTTAGGTCCTCCTCCTGTTTCTCCCTGCTCCAGTTTTGAATGCCCAAGCTTACCCATAACCAAAGACAAGGAGCAGGTAAGGCACTAATGCATTTTCCTCCTGGAGTTTATTTTTGGGTCATTGCAGAGTTTTACTTAAATTGACATTATGTCCTCAGGACAGAAGCCCACTAAGTCTTAATGTTTGCTTCTAAGAAGTGCAGTTACTTTTATATGTGCCTGTACAGCAGGAGCCCACATTGAGTGTTATTAGTGTCGTGAATATCAATGGAGTTATTCAAGCGTTGACTCTTTTCACTTTCTAATGTGGGTAAAATATAATTTCATATTGTCTTAAATCAGCTTAGAACATCCATTAAGGACTCATCGATATGAGGATTTTAGCCGATGTTAGATAATATTTCTGTTATGGTTGATAACCGATATTTACCAATATTATATTTTTTTTATACGGCTGAAATAATTTATCAGATTAATTGTGATAAATCGATAATTTTAATTACTGTCAACTAGTTTAGTAATTGATTAATCGCTAACTAGCATATTTTGTCACAAAATAGATCAAATGATGAAAGTAAAACATATTCAGAGCAGCAATTAAGTCAAAATTGTACAAATATACATATATATTCATATTTTTCATTTAAGATTAAAAAAAAAAAACTATCTGTAAATGTTCTATCCAAAACTCCGTAAGTGTAATAGTTTTAGGTTCACCTGGTTCAAATTCTGTAAAAAAAATAAAATAAATAAAATAATCATATTAAGCACTGTTGGTCTAAGAAAAGAATAAACAAATCAGCCCTACACTCTTCTGTCAAGCAGAAATGTTTTTTTAGCTGCAGATGCATTATTTTCTACAAGTGATCAAACTTACTCTAAAGGAATTCTATGTTGTCGCATTTTAGGCCATAAAATGTTTATTTTCTTGTTATAAAAAGTAATTTATGTAATGTATTTCTAATATTGTATAACAAATACTACATGGGCAGTCCCCACTCTTATGAAACACTCACAAATGTCAAGAAAATCAAAATAAACATTGGTTTTTAATGTCGGCCCAGTATAGTCACCAATGCACTATAATGTCTGTTTCTTTATTTGCAGTGACATGATGGTTTATTCCAACAGGTTCACTTTAACTGTCCTCATCTGCTTCTAGCTAATTTCCTTCATAGAAAGCAACTCGGTTGTGATCGTTCGAGGAGCCACCGGCAGTGGCAAGACCACCCAGCTGCCACAGTTCATCTTGGACCACTACAATGAGAAAACCGCCTCCTGCAACATTGTGGTCACACAGCCGCGCAAGATTGGAGCCACCAGTATCGCTCGCTGGGTTGCTGCTCAGAGGAAGTGCATCCTGGGCAGTCTGGTGGGATATCAGGTTGGTACACCTGTGAAGTAGTAAGTGAGTTTGTGTTTGACATACTGATGTTTGTGCACATTAATTTACGACCAGTGTTTTAAATTCTGGTTTTATTTAGAAATCTTAAAGCAAAAATGGATGTTAAAGGGGACCTTTTACTCAAAATTCACATTTTGCTTATTTTTATACTTCCATTTATGTCTCTACTGCTTCTAAAAACCCCAAGCCCAAGTGTTTAAAAAACACAACCAAACTGACCAAAGTAAAAAAAAAAAAAAAAAAAAAAAAAACCCCAAACTGTTTTTTTTGGAAAAAATTTTATTTT